GACTCCAGGATCATGACCTGAGCCGAAGGCAGTCGCTTAACCAACTGAGCCACCCAGGCGCCCTGCCTAGAGTTTTCTGAGAAGGATTCTGAGTCCTTACCTGGGGCCTCTTGATGCTGTATGACCCGATTTTATCTCAAAGTGTGGGACCCTCTGTCAGTTTCTTCCTTTTCACTGGATGTGCCCTGGCTGAACCCTTTGTGCCTTGAGGCATCCCTGTCCAGTTTTAGAACGTGTGTTCAGAGCTGTTCCTGGAGGGCTGGAGATGGTCCTGGGTTTCCTGTGCTTGGCCAGTCACAGGGGGAGGAGTAGAAGAGCATTATCCACGGGGGTCAGGAGATTTGTGTCCCAACTTTGTCCTTGCCACTGGTTGGCAGAGTTCCTGGCAGGATGCTTGTTGTTTCCTTTTTCTTTTCTTTCTTTCTTTTTTTTTTTTAAAAGATTTTATTTATTTATTTGACAGAGATAGCGAGAGAAGGAACACAAGCTCGGGGAGAGGGAGAGGGAGAAGCAGGTTTCCTGCCGAGCAGGGAGCCCGATGCGTGGCTCAATCCCAGGACCCTGGGATCATGACCTGAGCCGAAGGCAGACGCTTAACGACTGAGCCACCTAGGTGCCCCTTCTTTCTTTTCTTTCTTTGCTTCCTTTCCTTTCCTTTCCCTTTCCTTTTTCCCCTCCCCTCCCCCTCCCCTTTCCCCTTTCCTTCTCACGTGTTATTTCTTGACTTCAGTTTCTCCCTTGGTAGGTGAGTGGCCTCTGAGGGCCCTTCCAGATCCAGAGAGCTGTGACTGAAAGTGGCACGTTAGCTCCCAGCAATCTCTGGCCTGTGATCGGACTGAGCATCCGTGAGCACAGGGAAGCTCCTCCTGGGGTTCATGAGGCCTGAGCCCGGGCCCTGGCTTCCGTGGAGCTGCCTGAACTAACACTCTGGCTTGTTTCAGAAAGGGATAAAACTGCAAGGTGTCTCCACAAAGCCAGTCTACGTCCCCAAGGTGGAGCTGAATCAGGAGCTGATAAAGAGTGTCTCTCAGGGCACCTCAGACCTCAAAGACGAGCTGAAGCGGTATATCAGGCAGGCCCAGGACAAGAAGCCCGAGGAACCCACTGGCTCAGGTAGCCATTAGCAAACCCCGAGCTCCCCTACTGGGACCCCTAAAATGGGAGGGGTCCCCCCATTGGGGGTGGGGGGAGGGTCTTGATCCAGAACACTGGGGCTTGAGTTGCAGGGGTCCAGACATATCTGCCCTCCATCTGGGAGGTCACGGGGAAACCTCCTAAGTCGTAGCCATCCTTCCGAAAACATTTCTGGGCACCTTGATGCTAACGACGGGACTTTCTGGACTTGTGTGTGATCTTGAGGCTGGCTCAGGTGGCTTCTGAATAGACTCCCCACCAAATTATCAGTGTAGTTGGTGGGGAATGGCTAGTTTTGGGGTCAGAGAAACCTGGCATTCTTCTCTGACACCCTCTTTCCTTCCCCCCTGTATCCAATCCATGACCAGATTTTAGTTCTTAAATTTCTCCTGACTCAGTCCACCGCCCCCCCGCCAGCCATCACCTGCCTGCTTTCTGTTGCCCCCACCTGTGGCAGCTTTCTAGCTAGTCCTTCTGCATCCACTCCTGCTGCAGCCAGAGAGAGCTTTTCAGAGTGTGAATCTGATCTCCTGGGACCTTCTTCCCTCACCCTGTTCAGAGAATTTCCATTGCTTTCAGATTTCAGACCACGCTCTTGCCACTGTTCTACAAGCCCCTGCCTGGTCAGGCCTTGTCCGTTTCACCAGCCTTGAAGCGCCTCCTCCTCCCACACATCTTTCTGCATGCAGCTCTCACATATGCTAAGCTTCCTGCCACAGGGCCTTTGTATGTGCCCTTCCCACTGACCAAAAGGCTCAGACTCCACCATCCTTACCAGTTCACTCCTCTCACCCTTCAGAGATCAGTTGAAACATTGTATTTCTCAGCAAACTTCCCCTGTCACCACCACTCCCACTCCTCAGACTAGGTCCCAGGATCCTTATCATCCCTTGGGAGCCTTTGCGTATCTGTCATTTTGTTCTTCCCCCACTAGATTGCAGTCTCTGTGAGGGCAGGGGCTCGGTCTGTTTTTCATCCAACACTCTCCCCAGTGCCTAGCACAGAGCATGGCACATAGTGAATCTTACCGTGTAACCCTGGGGGTAGGGCTTGAATCTCAGCTGGGCGAGCTGAGTGTCCTTGCAGAAGGGCCTCTGGAACAGGCGTGGCATGCTCTGTGTAGAGGGTACAGCTGTAGACGAATTGGCCATGCGTATTTGTTTTCCTGCTACATCAGTGATTGCTGGTCTGGGGAAGGGTGATGGAAAAACTGGAGGGTGAGGAACGAGGCCTCTTGGCCTCATCGCCACAAGCAAAGGGCTCGTCCCTTCCTGTTGACACCGGAAGAAGCGGAACCTCAGAGAGGCTTTAGAGGTCATGGAGCGGGGCACTGGCAGAGAAAACATTGACCCCGGCTACATTTTTTTTTTTTTTAAAGATTTTTTCTATTTATTTGGGAGAGAGAGAATGAGAGAGAGAGAAGAGCATGAGAGGGGGAGGGTCAGAGGGAGAAGCAGACTCCCTGCTGAGCAGGGAGCCCGATGCGGGACTCGATCCCGGGACTCCAGGATCATGACCTGAGCCGAAGGCAGCCGCTTAACCAACTGAGCCACCCAGGCGCCCCGACCCCGGCTACATTTTAAGAGAAAAGAGGGACACACCAAACTCGTCTTTTTGTCTCCTTGTTTCTAGCTCCTGTAAAGGATTGGGTAGGGAAAGTCCGTGGAAATCACCTTTGTAGACCCTCTCTCCGCCTGCCCCTGGCAAAGCTGGCCCCTGGGGTTGCTTTGGAAGAGCTGCATAAAGTAACCCCTTCTTCTTTGGCACAGGGAACCCCGGAGAGCATGGCCCAGCATCTACGCCCAAACCCACACACTTTGCAAAAAAGTTCCCGAGTAAGTAACCTTGCTGCTGTTCCTGGGGCTCTTGCCAGCCCGTCCCAAATGGCCGTGGTTGGGGGGAGGGGGGCAAGTACCTCTACAGACGAGTCTGGCCACAGTGCCACCGAGTGGAGGCTGGAGGGGCTGCCGCAGGGCTCCCCTGGGGTGCTTGGCAGGACCTTCCCTTCAGCACGGGTTGTGCGGCCGGCCTGGGCCAGCAAGGTTACCAACACCCGCTTGTCTTGAGAAATACTTGCTGACACCCAAGTTTTGGCACTTGGGCAGAGCGCCCCCTGGAGGAGCGGCTCAGAGCTGTTCCGTCTTGAGTCATCCTGTGCTTCTGTCCGAGCACTTCCCGACCTCCTTCCCATGATTGTCCTTCTCTTACCACCACCCCCAGCCATTGAAGACAGTGTTTTCCTAATTGCCCCACCTGTGAAATTTTAATACTACGCATATGCAGTATTTCTCTATAGATCATGCTTTCATACATGTAAAGAGTAAGATTTTTTTCACCCTCTTCCACCAAGAATCCATTTTTGCCCCCTTGAGTGGGGCATGCCACCCACACGGTGAGAAGGCATATGCTGTTGAGGTGGGGGTCAGGGAGACGAATGGTCCTCAGTTTCCTCATCTGTCAAACTTGGACCATAACGACGATGACCTCATGGGATTCTTATGAGTGAGGTTTCCACGGGACACTGATCATTGTGAAGCTCCTTAAAGCCCATAAATATGCCCCTGACCTGTGGCTGTTATCACTTCTCTGAAAAGTCAGCGTGCCCCGAGGAGTGCTGCCCCTGGGGGTTGTGGGAACTCTGGGTCCATGCTATTGTTGCTTGGTTTTAGAGTCTAGGCTGTCTTTGGCAGACAGATGTGTGGTATTGGTCTCCAAACGGAGTAGAGAGCCAGGAGCCGGAGTGCCTGGTGTGGATGGAGCAGGGAGCCCCCAGCCAGCCGGCAGATGTGGAAGGGCCCCTGGTGTGACCAGGGAAGGGAAAAATTGGTGAACAAGCACTATGCACCTGTCCTCCAATCACACTTCCCCGAGAGCATCCTCACCGCCAGCCCAGATCACAAGTGCGGCTCTTAGCCCAAGTGAGCTGCGGATGGTGGGAAGGAGTGGACCAGTCACAGTGCAGATGAGACTCAGAATGGCTGTGAGGACCAGGGAGGGGGCCCGTGCCCTAGGCCGGCGGCACAGCCTGGGGTCCTCCCAAGTGGCTGGTCCTGTGTGAGTGGGCAGGTGAGGAGGAGATGGGGCCAGAGTGAAGACAGCGTCTGGACATAGGACTCGGAAGTGGGAGGAATGGGGAGCAAGGGGGTCATGTGGGGCTGAATGGGGGCTGGTGGGGAAGTAGAGGATGATAGGAGAGCAGGGTTTGTCTGCGGGCAGGGATAAGATCCACAACACCCCTTTTCATTCCGGTGGTGGGGAAGGTGGTGGAGGGAACCCGAAATCTTCTAGCTCACGTAGACTTGAGCATGTTTCAGACTCACCAGGGGTGTATAAAACACAGGTCGCTGGGCCCCACCCCTGGACTGTCAGAGTCAGCAGGGTCTTGGGTGGGATCCAAGAGTTTGCATTTCCTACAGATTCCCCAGCAATGCTGATGCTGCTGGTTGGAGACTCATTGCTTTAGGTAAACTCAGTTTTCATAGGCACACACTCCAGATAGTTTTTAAAGACTATTGTGATACTCAGCAAGCACAGTTTTTTGCTGACTCCCTTTTTGTTTTTTGTACTTTTTCTTTTATAGAGATATAATTTACCTATAGTAAAATGTGCAGATCTTAAATGTGCAGTTAGATTAATTTTGACAAGCGTGTATGTGTGTGTTACCAAATCAAGTTAAAGAATTACCCCAGAAAATTCTTTCATGCTCCTCATTATCAGTCCCAACCCCCAAAACCACTGATGCAGGTTTCTGTCACCATAGATTCATTTGCTTGTTTCCAGGGACAACATCCTTGCTTTATTTGTATGGGTCACATTCATGCAAATTATTATTATGGTGGTTTTTAAGAAATATTTATTTATTTGAGAGAGAGAGAGTGAGAGAGTGCAAGAGCATGAGCAGGGGGAGGGGCAGAGGGAGCCAGAGAAGCAGTCTCCCCGCTGAGCAGGGAGCCCAGTCCCAGGACCCTGAGATCATGACCTGAGCCGAGGGCAGACGCTTAACCAAGGCACCCAGGTGCCCCTATTATGGTGTTTTGAAAGTGTCATCATGCTGTGCTTCATCTTAATTCTGAAAATTTTCTTTTTCAGAAGAAGAAAAGAGACCCAAGAAACCTTGTAAGTTATGCATCTGTGCCCCCGTTTGTTTCTTGAGATTGGCCAGGTGTGGAACTAAATGCTGGTAGCAGAGCCTGGCCTCTCTGGTCGGGGTTCTGTGATGGGGCCCGAGTTCTGTGCTTATGTTCTGTCGTGGCAGGCGGGCCTGAGGTTGGGGGTGAGCGCGAGTGCATGGAGTGAGACGGATAAGGAGCATAGCCCTGTCTGGACTCAGCTGTATCCTTCCGGCTGTCCAGGGGTGTATTTGCAGAAGTAGCGTTTGCAGATCAGTGTGGAAGGGACGATAGGCCATCTGGTCACTGTGTCATGGGTCCAGTTCATGTTTCTCCTCCTTATCGCCAGCCCCTGCCTCTGCCTCAGCCACCAAGATGCCCACTTTTGGAGCCCCGGAAGAGTTACTGGAACTAAAGCAGTCCAGCCTGGAGAGTGAGTTATTGTGGGCAGGGGGCAGTGTGGGGTGTCCACTCTGAGTTTGTGCTGAAAACGGCTCTCTGTGTCCTCTCCCAGGTGTAGGCAAAGCCACCACCGCGCAGCTGAATGCGGCGGCCCTCAAGGCCAAGGTGCTGGAGACCTTCTTAGCCAAGTCCAGGCCCGAGCTCCTGGAGTGTGAGTAGCGTCGGCTCTGGGGAGCGGCCCCACTGGCTCTTGGGCTCTCCTGTGCAGCTCTGCTCACGGCTTCGCCCTCGCCTCTGTCTGGAGGTCCAGCTCGGCTCCCCTTCCCCTTGTGCGCCACCGGCCTGTCCTGCACTTGGCCACAGCCCTCCTCACTCCCTTCCGTCCCCCCCCGCCCCTCCCCCGCCAACACCGATGCCACGGTGGTGCTTTGAACCCCCAGCCCTGCGTGAGCCCAGCTCGCCCCTTTCTCTGGACCCGCACCTGCTGCCCACTGCCATGCCTCGGGCATTGCTGGGGGCCCACTGCCAGCACCCCGGCTCCAGTCTTCTCCTCGGCTCCCCTGCCATTCCAGAACCTTCCCACTTGCCATAACCAGTCTTCTCCCTGTCCCACCCGCCCTCCTCCACTTCACAGAGAAGAGGGGCCCCTCGTCCCCTTGTTACTGCCATCTCTCGTGCATCGCCACCTGCCCCCTCCCGCCCCCTCCCCGGCTGCCCCCCTCCCCAGCCAGTCCACCTCCTCCTGCTCTGTCTGCACTCCCGCACCTGGTCACCCTCACTGGCTCTCCTGGGGCCTGTCCCTCCGCAGATGTTTCAGTTCCCCTCATCCCAAAAGCAAAAGCAAAGCCAACAGAGGAACACAAAAGCGGCGAATGCAGACAGCCTCCCTCTCGCCTGAATACGGGTGAAAAATACAGATTTCTGGGCCCTAGGCCAGTGCTGCAAGATTCGGCTGCAGGGGACCAGCACAGAAAGCTGGGTGGTAGTCTCATTTCCTCTGTGATCTTTGGAGGGAAGTTGGAAAACTACAGCTGCATTGCTGTGGCCAAGGGTCAGAACCCCCGGGGAGCTTGACCCCGTCCCGCTGCTGCCGGAGCTGCAAGTGTCCGTGTTGCCGAAAGCCCCCCGGGGCCGTGGGGGGCGAGAGCCGCGAGTCAGGCTTCTGTCCCTGCCCTGCGGCAGGCCCGCTCTGGCTGGGGGTAGCGGCAGCCCCCGTGCAGCTGAATGTCAAGGACACCTTTCAGCCTTCAGTTGGCTGGCCCTCTGGGGGCATTCATCCTTCTAGAAGGAACACCCCCTGCGTCTGCAGAGTCGCTGTGCCGCCCTGGGCACCACCCGCACCTCTGGTCACTCCTTCATAGGTACCTTCGCAGTCAGGCCGGGCTGTCTACGGCAGGGGCCAGCTTTCTCAGGGCCTGTGTCCCCAGAGCTTCCTGCGGTTCCTCCCCCGCCCCCTGCAAGAGCCAGGCCTGGCCTGGGGCCAGAGCTAACTGCCGCAGAGCTGCCGGTGAGGTGACGCACTGAGCCACGTGTTTCTGGAGCCCTGGGCTGCTTGAGATCAGCCACGTGAGCAGAGAAAGGGAGTTGTAGCAACGCAGGACCTTGGAGAACATTTTCCCTCCTCTGTTCATCTTGCCCCGGGTTGGCAGGGGTGGGGT